ACAAGACTGAATGGAATCCTCATAGAAGGGCACATTCCCTCCTTGACAGTGCCTGCCAGATGTATGACCAGAATATACTCCGGTACATACCACTGGAGAAATGTTTTTCTCGTTTGACAGAGCTTGCATTTTCAGGAAAGCCACATGCAAAACTGCTTGAGATTGAATCTTCGAAGGTGGTTGTTCGAGACCGAGACCAAGAACATGAGGCTTCAGTTCAGTCATCGTATCAGGCATTGGAAGCTTGCAAGCGACGTGGATTGGCGCTTGACTTTGCAGGGATCATGTCTTTTGGGGCCCATGACAGGTATGTGCAAACACTTTTCAATCACTTGAATAGAGACCCCCCCACGGGGTATAATCGATGTAGTGTGTCCCAACTCCTTGCGGCAGACCGTGCTGCCTGGAGCCGCCTTACAGAGACCAACACAAAGCCAAGACCGGACGCAGCCGGGGTCCTTGCCCTTGACAAGGAGCTTTTGGAAGCCTTGAAGTCCTATGAGGTTGCCTTCACCCTTCTGCCTACGGTCACAAAGCAGCCCTCGAAGCCACAAGCTAGTGCCCCGAGCTCTCCACCAAAGCAACAGCCCGGGGTTTTTGGAAAGGCAGGCCGAAAGGGAAACAACCGTTTCCGACCATACAATGCAAAGGGAAAGGGTAAGACCAAAACAAAGTTTGACCAGAGAGTGCCACGTGAGATTCGAGAAGCCGGCGGCACCGCCTCCACGCCGGCGGGTGATCCCATTTGTTTTGATTATTCGCTTAAGAAGTGCAAGGAGAATGTCGCCGATGGCCGCTGCAGAAAAGGGTATCATGTGTGCGCCATCTGCTACGGCCACCATTGCATGGCCGACCACAAGAAATCATGACTAGCAACCGGCCGCGAGCTGCCCAGTAAGCGCAAGAGCATCGAACCAGATGCCATGCCCACGCAGCCCGCAAAATGCATTCGAAAGATTTTGCCAAGTGACTGTACAGATATTGCCTCCGAAGTGAGCCCTATGCATGCCAGTGATGTAAATTAAAACCCTACAGCTTGCTCGGTCCCTAAGACCCATAATCGTGATCAAAATTTTTCCCATGATGACATAGCCTCAAGTGACTTGCATGGTGACCCAAATGTCACCGCACACATTCCTGCTGACCCATTTTTCCTTGAGATTTGTGCTGGTTCTGCTCGGGTAACAACCTGTCTACAACAACTCGGGCTTAAATCCTCCTTTGGAGTCGACCACAAGCGGAGCAAGGATGCTGGCCGACTACTTGTGGCGGACTTGACCACGCCCGAAGGCCAAGCTCTATGTTGGCAATGGGTGAAATCACCTAACTGTGTGGGCATCTTCTGTGCGCCTCCATGCGGCACCTGTAGCAGAGCAAGAGGCATACCAGTGCGATTGCCGTCCGGCAAAAAGATCCCCGGGCGGAAGCCATTGCGATCGGAGGAACAGCCCGATGGATTCAAACACTTAACAGGGACCGACAAATTGCGTGTCAAGTCAGCTAATGTTTTGTACCAGTTTATCACTGACCTCTGCCTTCACTGCATTGCAAGATCCCTCATAGTGTGTATTGAAAACCCACGACAATCCTTATATTGGCGTACTTCTTTCTTTGCACCGCTCAAAGAGCTTCTTAGTTTTGCAGTCCATCAAGCTTGTGCCTACGGATCCGAACGGCCGAAGTGGACAGCCTTAGCACACAACACACAAACCTTGCATGACTTAAATCATACATGCCCAGGTGAAGACCACAAGCACAAGCACAAGCCATGGGGCATGACCAGCAATGCTAGCTTTTCCACGGCGGAAGAAACAGCCTATCCAATGCAGTTGGCCTTCACCATCGCCTTCTTTTTGGTAAAGCAGCTAGTCCGAAAGGGTTGGAAACCGCCCAGTGAAATTTTGTCACTGCCTGACGACATTTCATACCAATACTTGCGGTCTGTTACTGGAGTGCAGCCCAAGTCCAGTAAAATCCCTCCTTTGGTTTCCGAGTTTGGCGCCATCATTGCATATTGATGTCGCCCATGACACCCCTCTGCCAATAGTCCCAGGAGATAAACTCCCAAAACCTTGGCAAACTGTTCCTGCAGGAGCCTGCTTGCTTAAAAAACAGATTGTGCGGTCAAATGGGGGTATGGGGAAGATACAGCCTGGAATGAAAAGAGTCTCCTTTGGGGTCTTCAGGTCGAGCCAAGAATTTGTAAAGACAGCAGTGCTAGCAGGGCACCCCATCAGCAGAGAGACCAAGCTTCTCGTTGCTCTTGACGCGGCTGTTGACTTCCTCAATAACAATCCAATGCATGTTGTTGCTAGGCATCGGCTCACTGAGTTGGAGCGTTGGTTGGATCGTGCGAAAGCGCTTGTTGAGGATGATTGCACAATTCGCTTGACCCGGCCTTGAAGGGTATCCTGGCCCCAAAAAGACTCTTGCTTTGGAAAGAGATGATGGTGCATTACAGGTACCCTGACTGCGAGGTATTTGATGAAGTGGTGTCTGGTACGAAACTTTCCGGCGTGGCCCCAGCAGTGCCATCCCTAGAAGCTTGTTTCAAACCAGCAAAACTTACAGAGTCTGAGCTGGCATCCACCGCAAGGGCGGGTCGGATTGGCCTCTTGCGATCTGTCCGCTCTTCTGGTGACCCATTCATTGATTCTGAAGTTTATCGGAAGACCCTGGAAGAGCTGGAGAACGGTTGGCTAGACGGCCCCCACGACCCTGAATCGCTGCCAGAGGACACGGTCATCAGTAGACGGTTTGGTATCCTCCAAAGCTCAGGTGATGCATCCAAGGTGCGGCTCATAGATGATTTTAGTGCCTCAGGCGCGAACTCAACTGTCCAAGTCAATAGCTGTACCAAGTTGCACACATTGGATGTTGCTGCTGCCCTCATTTTGAAGCTTTTGCGTGAATCCAATGCGGCCAGTTGGGTTGGGAAGACCATGGACCTGTCAGCCGCATACAGACAGTTGGGTGTGGCCGCAGAGTCGCGGTGGGTTTCTTTTATAGCAGTCTACGACCCGTCCTCAAGGACTCCAAAGATCTTTGCAATGAGGGCTCTGCCGTTTGGTGCCAGCCGGTCTGTATACAGCTTCCTCCGTGTGGCGCACTCCCTTTGGTGGCTGGGTTGTGTCGCGCTTAAACTGCCATGGACAAATTTCTTCGATGACTTTATAACCTTGGCAAGGTCTGAAGAATCTGTTTCGGTGGAAGTTGTCACCAGGCAATTTTTCCGTCTGTTGGGCTGGGGCGTCTCTGAAGGCGAGAAAGACCTTCCCTTTTCAGAAAAATTCAGAGCCTTGGGAATAGAAGTCGACCTGTCTGCCTGGTCGTCTGGTGTTGCAAAGTTTGCAAACACGAGCAAGCGCACGGCTGAGCTGGTGTCCACCATCAAGGCTGTCTTGGAGAGCCGGACCTTGCCGCACCAAGCTGCCCTAGCGCTGCGGGGTCGCATGCAGTTTGCACATGCGCAGCTTTGGGGCCGGGCTTCGAAGCTCTGTCTCAATGCAGTTACTGCCCATGCCTATTCCGGTGATGGTCCTGAGATCAGTCGCCACCTCGCCAATTGCTTGGAGATGTTTGTGCAGAGCTTGGAAGAATCAAAGCCGAGAGAAATCTCGCTGTGGTGGGATGTTCCCTTCTTCCTATTCACCGATGCCTCGTTTGAGCCAACTGATGCTGGATGGCCCTGCGGTATTGGTGGGGTGCTTGTGGGGCCGAGCGGAGAGCAAATCTCGGCCATATCTTTCTGCCTCGACATGAGTGACTTGGAGTGCCTTGGGTACCCGTCCCGGTCAACGGTCATTTTTGAGGCTGAACTGCTTGCACTTATTGTTTGCTTCAAGATTTGGAAGAGGCACCTCCGCCACCGGCCATGTGTGATGTACATTGATAACAATGCAACCCGTGACTTAAGCATCTCGGGAAGAGCTAGGACCGCGCCTGTGTCCGACCTGGTCGCTGAGCTCCTAATGTTGGAAGATAGGAACTGCACCAACACTTGGTTTGCGAGGGTCCCTTCAGCATCCAACCTTGCCGACGGACCATCAAGAAATGACCTGGCCGAAATCACAGCTGGGTGTGTCTCCGCTGACTTTGCAAAGCTTGTTGCCAAGAAGGTTTTGGCTGGCTTGTGCCCCTCAAGGCCGCCTTGACCTTGAGCAGTTCCGTTTGCAGTCTGACGGTTAAGATGGGGAGAGAGATGCAGGATGTATTTTTGATTTTTTTCCAGAAGAGGCTGCAGTTGCCAAATGGTTCGCCCAACATGATCGTTGGAAACCACTGCAGTGACAAGTGAAGGCCGACCGAGCTGTGGGGCAGTGGTGTGACCACGCATTCCCCATCGCAGTTGTGAGAAAACAGAGTGGCGCGTGAGTTTTCACTTTTGGTGCATTTTCATGTGGATGTGATTGAGGTTTTGTTTTTGGTTTATTTGAAGTTTCGTATCTTGGAGGTATTGACGCGTGGCGACCGTGCGTGTAATTTAAGCGTACGGTCAACGCGTTGATAGTGCATTAAATTACTAAGCTAGGAAAATTTGGTTGCCAAATTTTAGCCACCGTCTATATCATGCCTTTGCTCAACCGAGCATCGTAACATGCCAGGGATGAACCTGTGAAAACAACACCCTGAAATTATCCCATGCCGGTTGGTTTTGTTATTGCTCTATTTTGCCAGGGATGAACCTGTGAAAACCAACAACGAAACAAATTGATTTGATTCTCTCAAATGTTCCTGGTAAAATAACTTCAGCTGTGCATCTTGGACTTGATGTGTGAAAAGATCAACATGCCACTATTTCATTTTGGTCTCAAGTTTTTTTCATTTCAAGTGGCCTGTCCCGGCCCTATTTCCCACCCGGCCACTTGACAGCTTCTTACGCTTGCAAGACAGCTCGAAGCTCAAACTTTCGCCGCACCGTCCAATACCCTGGGTCCCTATGCAGCAGCCTGATATCGTGAACTTCAGTGTGTATCTCAGTGGCCTTGCTGTACATGGACATGCCACAGCCAGAGCCCAGGGTGCGTGCCTTCGAAACAGTCATAGGCGCGCTGAAGCCGCTCCTTGAGGCTTGCGGGAGACCGCCTTTTCTGAAGGCGGCATTCGAGGTTTGCGCAAGCATGTCCAACTCCCTGGTGGTGCTCGAAAAGCTCCACTTTCCAGATCTCCCACCGGAGACGCCAACGTCGTTGGTCCTCCCACCGCGGCCCCAGCCACGGGGGCCCTGCTGGACCAACGCTTCAGGGAGCACCATGGAAAATTTGGCCCCGCTTTAGCGGCACTCAATGATTTTCTGGACTGGTTCCGTCTTCACTACGACACGGACTTGCACAGTGATACATACAGTATGCTGCAAGACACCATGCTCCTGCTCCAGTCTTGTCAGACGCTCATCGAGCTTGCCAGAGACGAACCTGCTCCAGCACCGGTGCCTACTGCTTTGGCTGCTGGCCCTGCCCGTCGTGAAGCTGCAGCTCCACCTTCTGACCCGAACCAGCCTTGCATGGTTCTTTTGCCGAACGAATACTGAAGGCCAGCAGCAGCGTGCCAAATTTTCCCTACATCTTGCGGGGAGAGAGATGCAGGATGTATTTTTGAATTTTTTCCAGAAGAGGCTGCAGTTGCCAAATGGTTCGCCCAACATGATCGTTGGAAACCACTGCAGTGACAAGTGAAGGCCGACCGAGCTGTGGGGCAGTGGTGTGACCACGCATTCCCCATCGCAGTTGTGAGAAAACAGAGTGGCGCGTGAGCTTTCACTTTTGGTGCATTTTCATGTGGATGTGATTGAGGTTTTGTTTTTGGTTTATTTGAAGTTTCGTATCTTGGAGGTATTGACGCGTGGCGACCGTGCGTGTAATTTAAAGCATTATTCCTCGGATAAAATTGTTGAGGTATCACAAATAAGGATCTTGATTTCTAAACACAAACTGTCGTGGCAAGAAACGTTTCTTGTGAAACAACAACTCCTGCATAACTCCATACGTTTAATCTTTGCAGAAACTTTTTAATGATCCCGTTTGTCAACAAACGAACAAACCAAACTGAAAAAACAAGTTTTCAGTGGAATCAATTTTAATTTTTCATCACCTGATACATTTTTCTTCAAGTGGTGGGAGGGAGTGGTTCCCTTTTAAAATAAAGGGGTTTTTCGAGCACCCACCCCGTTGCACTCCCACCCTTGGGGAAGCAGCGGGTGCGCTGACACTTGAAAGCGATACATCAAGATGTCAAACCAAAAGAGAAATTTGGGCAACATGGACCCACTTAGCACCTACTTGATGCCATGGCTGGAAACAAGACCAGCACATCGAAAACTCCCCCGACAGTGCGAGCTTTGGAAGCGAAAAGGATGCGTGAGGGTGTGCGTTGGCAGTTGTTCGCATTTATCAATTTCTTGATTTGACGTGGTGTTGAACGACAAATTTGGCGACAATCCGATTTTCAGTTTAAACCAAAATTTGAAGTGTTTTGAAAACACACGCCTTGCTGACAAACTCACGTCCGTTGCGATCGTTGAATTTCGCATATAAACATATTGGAATTTACATATATACACAGATGTATGGTTTACTTATCTAGCTGTTGTCACAATTGAAACGTCCACCACCAAGCTGTGTTTAGTCTGAACAAGATCCTGGTTTATGGAGGAATAACATACAGCGACTCGGCATAAATCAGCACTGCAGGTTGCCAATTCAGACCTGCCGCAGCAGTCGACAGATCTAGTGAATTCACAGGACCCACAGGTGGCAAGCACCTCGGTTACAGTTCCCAAAGCCTGGTCTCGTCAATCACGATTGCAAGAAGATTTTCCTTTTGCCACCACAGCCAAATTTTTTTTCTGGACATTTTTGCAGCCGCCTCAATGCCTGTAAGCACAGCCCTGTCCAAATTTTCCTGTGACCGTGTTCAACCCATCGACTTGATTCACGGTCATGACCTTTTTCATGACGACACGTTCGAGGAGGTTGCCGCGTCTCACTTTAGTGATGAGCCTTTATATAACCAGGTTCACAGGTGGTAGGCCACCGTCCTCTCTTTCCTCCACGCGTGCGTCTCCCGTCCCTTGCGTAGTTCGCGTTAGAAGTTTCTGAGTTGACTTCTATTACTTCCAAACAACATTGGTTGAATGTTGCTTGAAACAAATCTGTCAAAACAAACTTGCTCAGTGTGTGATCCTTTTGTGGGTCTCTGTTTGTTTTACAGTTTCCTGACATCTTTTTTTAAGTTTCAAGGGTGGGTGGGTGGGTGGGAAAAAGTCTCACTACCCGTAGGCTGAATGGGGGTAGTGTGGCTTTTACGTTGCCTTTTTGCCATGGACCTGCTAGTACATGCAGCTGCATTCAGACTGGGAGTGCGACGTTCTGACATCAGGATGCCTTGGGAGCGTGAACCAGTCAATCCTGTGTTTGCAAAAAGACCCCGTTTGATCCAGCCACCGGTGTTTGTTGCGATTGCTCCTCCTGGGATTCCGAGATTTCTATTCCTGTAGCTGAATCACAAGGGCTAGTGAGATGGTCAAGAACTACTTCCTTAATACCATGGCCGATTGCACAGGACAGAGCTCTAGCCAGAGCTCTTGAATCTTGGAGGTTGATCGTAATGGACAATTTGTCAGGTTCTGTAGTTGGCAGGCAAATAGAAGAAGCTTTGAGAGGTGACTGCAATGCCAAGTCGGTTGAGCAATCTGTGAGTGACGCCTTGACTGGAAAGTCAGTTGCAACACTGCGTGCAAGGTCCTCTTCACTGCTATCCTTTGCACGGTGGAAAAAGGGCCTTGACGCGAGTCAACTGTACTTGTTCAGTTATGTTTAGTGGGGTACTTCATTATATATATAATATCCCCTAAACATTTTGGCTCAAGGTGGCATTCATTGCATTATGCAAATGCGTATGTGCTTTAAAACTTTTTGGTCACTCATGGCCCATTTCAGTTGCGTTTGCGTTTTGTGCAGGTTTTATCTTGTGGTTTGGTCGTCTAACAACTCAACATAGTCGGCTTGTGGCATTTTGTCATTTATTTCAGTCGCATTTTGTGTTTGGCATTAATTGCACGGTTTCCTCCGACAGATTTCCGGCAATGGCATGCATCGCACTTTGGTAGTGCATCGCGGACCCATCGGGATCTCAGAACGCTGCTATGCAGTCCTGGTCTCGCCTTTGAATCGACATCTGTTTACTCAAATCATTTTATTTTTGGCTGACGATCAAACCAATTTCACAGTGGATACAACGGCATTTGCATTGACTTCAAGATTCTTTTTGCGGCATACGTTGATTTTTCGAGAGGTTGACACACCATCGATCGCTTCACTGGAAGATTCAGATGGATGATTCCTGGGAGTTGTTTTTGGCCTCTGACGATGTATCCAGCGTTGTTGGTGCAGAGAGTTTTCAACCTAGTCCCAAAGCACTTCCATTACCATCGATTTTGAGTCGTGTTTCAGCACCACGCATTCGTTCCCCCTTTCAGGTGACAGATTTGCATTCCATGTCGAGTTCATCCTGCGCAGCAACAGTCGAAACTGTGAGGCCCTCAACTGTGGTTTCAGGTCTGGCTAGGCCCACATCAACGCATTCCAGTGTGGAGTCATTACCATTTCCTGAATATGGGGAACATACAGTGGATCATGTGGGACTTTTAGCACCAGCATTTGCACATCCGCCCCCAACAAAATTGTTGCCAGATGCATTCGACAATGCAGACATTCCAGAAGCATTGCCTTCAGCTGCTGCGACAGTTTTCGATGATTCCCCTTTTCCTTTGCAACCCAAGCAGCCTTCCAATACAACCCATCGACCATCGCAGGCAGGGTCGCATTTGACACGTGTTCGAATCGCTTCGAAGTCCCCGATCGTTTTGAAACTGTGGAGTCAGTTTTTCTCAGTTTTGCACATTTATTCTACGGTATTGCAGCAGATGGCACAGAGTCAGTACATGGACGAACATGCTGAGAGATTTCTGAATCAATACGCAGCCACGACCTTGGTGCGGTACATGACCTCAGTTTTGCAATTTGTACAGTTATGTCGAGTGATGCATGTCACCATAGCTGATCTAACCGAAGCTCAGTTAGCTGACTTATTGATTTGCGGGTCTCTTGCCAGACGTTCAGATGGGTCAGGGCCCAAATGCTCGATCACCATCAAAGCTTTGAGATGGTGCTGTAAACAACTGGGTATTCAGCCATTTGCATCCGCCTTTGGATCACTGATTAGTTCCTTTGAACGCCAGAAACTTCCCACAGACAGAAAAGAAAGTTTGCCTTTCCCTCTTTTCATACTGATGAAATGGGAAAGGCGGGTATTACAGGCTCAGGCCACGATCAAGGAAATTATCATTTTGGGTGGTTTCTTACTTCTTTGCTGGTCAGGATTGAGATTCAGCGACATGCAAAGGACTTCACTGACCACGTGGTTCCTTGATGAACGATCCTTGAGAGGATTGACTTGGAGAGCGAAGACTTGTAATACATCAACACCTTTCGGTGTGGTTTTAACGGGACTTTTATCCCAAGGAAACTTTACCTGGGTTCACCGATACTTGCAGGCATTGGACCATGTCTACGCTGACCAACCAGCCGAATCTATCGACTTTGCAATCCCGGCATTTCAGGACCAGGATACCCCGGTGATTCCTGCTGATGCCATGACTTATGCAGAAGCTTTATACCATGTGCGGTATTTCATGCAACTTCCATGGAGTCAAAGTTCGCTCTCGTTGCAGGTCGACCCAACGAGCTATACGGTCCACGGCCTCAAGGCGACGCTGCTATCTTGGGTGGCACAGGCAGATTTGTCGCCCGAGGACCGTCGCATGCATGGCAAGCACAAGGCAGCTCAGATGAGCGTCCAGTTATACTCACGAGATGACATCATTGGCAGTCTCCGCCTTCAGCAGGCCTTGATTGAAAAGATATCTCAAGGTTGGCGCCCGTCAACACCCTTGGGCAGGGGAGGCCAGGCTCCCTTGCTGGAACCTGATTTTTCTATTGAGAAATTTAAAAAGTCAGTGACATCAATGCAATGGAGATTCTTTTCATTTTCCAAGCATTCCAGTCTGCAGTTATTGGCTGATTCAATGCATCCGAGCGATGTTGCAACACCAATTGAGGGAGAATCTGACACAGACTCTTCCTCTGACAGCTCTTCGGATAGCTCCGATTCAGTGGAGGTGACACGACCGTCCAAAACTCAGAAAACCAAGCATCCAGATCCGATGGGTCATGCAGACGAATGTGTGGTCGGGTTGCACCGCAAAACATGGCACATGATGATGGCATCCCAGTCGGACAGTGAACACCTACCCATATGGCAAGGTTTTGCCATGAAAACTGCGTGTGGTCGAAGCTTCCCGGATTCCCGCATTCAATTGGGAACCAATGTTCAGCTGGAGACTGGACAGGCGTTATGCAGCCATGTTGGCTGTCGCAAGGGCTTCAGCAGCCTCAGCGTTTCAGATTAATCACTCCCATGCAGCAGCTTTCGTGATCGAAAACAAAAGGGTTGCACTGCAGGTCCACTCTT